ATATAATTTTGATGTAAAATGTTATTAGGATTATCTCAAAGTCTATTTTTATATCTAATGATAAAATTTTAAATTTAAAAAATGAATGAAATCAAGTAGATCTATAAACATATGAAAATCTTGAAAATGGACGGTGTTGATAATATGTTGTAAAATGCACTATTTCTAAGACTTAAAATCTTTTTATTTTTCATGGTCATGCATCTCGATGTCGAGATGATCAATCAAAGGGTTTTTCAACATTAAAACTAACTTTTCCGATGGATTTTTGAGGTGCATCCATAGTTATACATTATAAGGCTGCATCCTTATATAAACTTTTTCTTATTACAAGATGTATTATTTTTAAAATTATAATTTTTTTTTTTATATCTAGACATAATAAGGTCGAGATAATCAATTGGAGGTATTTTCCAATATTTGAATGCTCTCTACTATATAAACTTTGTTTGCTAGATTTGATAGGGAGTTAGAAAGTTATAAGGTGGGGAGGGATGAATGTCACTTTATAAGGCAACCGAGAGTTTTTCGGAGGAGGGAAGTATGCTAATAGAGTAGGAAGGCACTCAAAATGATTGTTTGAGGTCTATTCTTATCATAGGTGAATAACCCTTTCCTCAAAATGATTGCTTGAGGTCTATTCTTATCATAGGTGGAGGGACCTTTTTCTCAAAATGATTACTTGAGTTATATTCTTATTATAGGTGGAGGACTCTTTCCCCCAATTAGGTGCCCTTTTCCACTCCACTTCATAGAAGTGATTGTGAGCTCCTTGTATTAAATATTTTAAACCGACATACTCCAATTGTAAGCTCCTTGCATTAAATTTCTCAAACCGACATACTCTATGCCATCTAATTTGACATCTCAAACCGACATGCTCCATGCCGTCCAATTTGACATCTATTGACATGAATTAATTGTGCCCTCATTACAACAGTAGCAAATTATCCAAATGCATACCATCTAATAAAAAATAAAAAATTAAAAAAGAAAGAAAGAAAGAATTAACACCATTGGACGGCTGAAGAGGGGTATTGTCGTTGAGATATTGTATTGTAATGAGGCCAGGGGAAGGGGAACTGGAAGTTTCAGCAGTCGCGTGGAGAGACGCACGCCATGGCTGCCTCTCGAAAGAGATCCTCATCTGCTAAACCAGTGAGCCACCTGCGGCACGAAGACTCTCGCTCTCTCTCTACCAATTCCGCCCTGAACTCATCACCACCCCCTGCAAAAACAACTGAGGCTGAACCAGTCGTGGCTCTCGCACCTCCAAAACTAGGGCAAATCTTTGGGATCTCAGCCATTTGCTTGTCCCCTTATTTGTACCTCCTATTCTTTTACTATGACATCGATGCTCAGCTCAAATGGTCCATTCTCTGCAACGTTTTCCTGAGCATTGGGGGTTTCTTTGCTACTCTCTTCGTGATCCCTGTGGCTTCTCGTTACTTGGTGAGAAGAAATCTCTTTGGCTATGATATCAACAAGAAGGGAACCTCTCAAGGCTCTGTTAAAGTGTAAAATCTCTCTCTCTCTCATTGTTTTTAACCAATCGTTTGTTAGTTAGGTACTAATTTACTCTCTCTCTCTCTATCTATCTATCTATCTGTATCATTTTTCCTTACTTTGACTGCTTATGTGATAAAGATACGACTGTACTCTCTCTCTCCCTGGGTTTACTATTTTTCATTATCTTGAACCAGCCATTATTGTCAATACGATACATCAATGTCTTACTAGATTTATCACAAGATTTTCTGTGATATAGTTCTGCGTTTTTTGTTTGAATTATTCATTATGTATTTTCTTTGATTTGCTGGAAAGGAATTTTCAGCAACATTGACTAGAGCTTGTATCTGATCTTGACCTATGTATTGACATGGGTCTTTTGCATATTGATTTGGATCTTTATGAAACTCCGATTTATTTCCTACTATTTCTTTTTGTTTAGACCGTGGAGATTTACTATGTTTAGATATCAAATTTTTGCCCATGTTTTTGGTATTCTTAAGCAATGGTTTATTATATACAACATATTCGTAATTCATACTATTTGTTCTTGGTTGTCACGATGCATTCATTGTTTCTTTCTTGATTAGAGCCAATGGAAATTTTAAATTTAAGAAGAAATGACACATATCACAAAGGATTTTTAAGTATCGGTGTAGTTGGCATACGGATGCATCCGTAGCTGTAGAGGTAAGCTGTAATAAAATGTTCTTAGGATTATTTCAAAATCTATTTTTATATTTAATTATAAAATTTTAAATTTAAAAAATGGTTAAAATCAAGTAGACCTATAAACATATGAAAATCTTGAAAATGGACAGTGTAAATAATATGTTGTAAAATGCACTATTTCTGAGACTTAAAATCTTTTTATTTTTCATGGTCATACATCTCGATGTCGAGATGATCAATCAAAGGGTTTTTCAACATTAAAACTACCTTTTCCTATGGATTTTTGAGGTGCATCCGTAGTTCTACATTATAAGGTTGCATTCTTATATAAACGTTTTCCTTTAAGTATATTGTAATTAGAATTTAGAAAATTTTTTTGTTTAATTTTAAGTCAAATGGAGAAAACTTATTCGATTTAGTTTTGTAGCTAGGTATCTAATTGAGGTTTATGTGTGAGCCATATTCACTTTTTATTGCGTCCACCACATATTTTTATCTTTTGAGAAAGAACAAAGTTTATATTAGCAAAATAGGAAGAAAGTTTAAGGACAAATGAGTTGAGAGATGTGGCCTTGGTGGTTTCTGTGCTTCCGACAGCCCTTGCATGTTCGATGTCCAGGCATACTTGGGATTCACGTTTTTTAATTGCCAATATAATTTAAATTTGAGTGATACTCTTTGAAAAACTAGATGCCCTGTGGGATGTTTTAGATTTTGATTATATTTCATGAGGATGCTTTTAGAGATTCCAAAATGACTTTGAGGTTCTAAATTGATATTGATGCAAGCTGAACTAGCATAGACCTGATTGTCAAGTACATTATGATTTGTTACGACTGTGGTCGGGACCGGGAGAATTGGGGGGTTTGACATTTACAAAAGTATCTTCATTCATCCATTTCTTATCCACTTTTGAATTCAACCAATAAGACTCTGAGATTTAGTTGGTCCAAGGAATCGTTGTAAAGCAAAATCTGTTCTTTGGAGTATTGTTCCTTTTAACTGCTCTAAATGTTGCTTCAACTAGTAAATCATTCAGTTCACATTTTCTTCCATTTCTCTTCAAATTTTGCAATTATTTTCTACTTTTAGTCCTCATTTTGAAATACTCCTTAGGAGAATTTGTTGTTTCCTTCAGGATTGCTTGGTTAAAAATCCGTATTGTTGTCAATTACATGGGTTGGCTTTAAGTATTAAACAAACTAAAAACACATGTTTGATTGTTGAGACTCTTGAAAGAGGAATTAGATAATGAAATCTGAAAATAGAACACCAAAGGGAAGCAAAAAGGAGATATCCACTATGATGGACATTTTAGTACCTTGATAAAAGAAAGAGATGATGTCCATTAGTCCCTCACACATTCCTTTTAATTATATGTATATATGGGGTTAACTTGGAATATTGGTAGGGATATGCAAGATCAAACCATCCTTATTGGAAACATACATCTTGGTACCCTTATAGTAAATGAAATATATGAAATTGTGATCTATAAATATTGCAATGCCCTGGTATTTATTATATTATGGAATTGGACCATAACAAGAATTTTTGTTTAACGACTTGATTCCTGTTTATAACAACTGATAGTATTAGTTTGGGGAGGAAGATCAGAATTAGAGATTGATATAAATGCAAGAGACATGGTCATGTGTGAGTAGGAAACAAAAAGTTCATATTCTAGTTCTACCTTCAGCCATGGATCCTAATCTAAGAGAATTCTCATACAATCTTTCTTGCCTTGAAATTTTATGGTCTCCCCAAACAAGGAAGAGAAAAAGAAATTTTGCTCGAAGGAAAATTCCATTTTGGATTTTTATCAACAATTTTCTCGTGTAGGCGGTGGGTTATTTGGAATTCTTTTAGTTCCTATGTAAGGACTTATACAAGAATTTTTTCAACAAGGATGTGGAGTAGGAAGAAATGGTCAACAAAATATGAACTAGAGATTGAATCTTGATGTACATCAGAACAATACATTTTTATTACCACAAGATGTATTGGTTGCTACTGGTCATTTGATTGGAATGAAGTTCGGGACGGTTACACTCGATATGAATCACTTGACAAAAAAAGAAACTTATTTGTTCTATAGCCGATCTGTTACATCTTACATGATTAATTTGAATTGGCTTTGGCTCATTTAGAATATGTAGTTCGAGGAACTATATGTGAGCTATTAAGCATAAATGGATACTGACTTCTCAGAATTTGGTAACTTGAATTTTATTAACAACCACTTTAAATGCTTTTTCATTTTCATGATTTATCTCAAGTTTTGGATTGAACTGATCCATTCACACAAATAGTTCATGGATGAGAATTAAGTTATTTTTGTCCTAGAGGATTGACAAGGGAACTCTAGTTTTTGCATACAAGATATCCATCCTAGTCAATATGGACTTATTTTCTCAATTGACATGTCCGAAGGAATCAATGTTGGACTTATCAGATCCTTAGGTATTCATGCAAGGATTGGTGATAGGGGATCTATACGAAGTTCATTTTGTGGAATATCCGAGAGACAGAGAGGAACAAATGGTTCATTTATCTCCTAGTAGAGATACATACTTTATGGTAATGTAGTAGGAAACTCTTGGCTTTGAATCAGGATATTCAAGATCAAGACGCATAGGTGGTTCCAGTCTGAGTCCATCAGTAATTCCTCACTATTGCTTGGGAGCGTATGGATATTCAAGGCATTTAGACCCTATCGTATTTCTCTATTGGAACTTTCCTCACTCCTTTTGTTGAGAGCAATGATGTGAATCGAGCGTTAGTGAATTCTGATATGTGGTTTTAAGCAGTTATGCTTTCTTGGTCTGAGAAATGGATTGTAGCAACTGGGCTGGAGCCTCAAGCAGTTTAAATTTAGGGGTTCAGCTATAACCCAACAAAAGGGGAAGATCATTTGCAGGATGGAACACAAGTTGATATTCGTTTCAACACATTAGGAATAACTTTACCAATGCATGTAGGACAGATGTTGGAATGCTCGCTGGGGTTTGCGGGAGATCGTTGAATAGACATTATAGAATAACACCCTTTGATGAGAGATATGAGCAAGAGAATTCGAGATGCCTTTTTTATATGAAGTCAGAAACCAAACATCATATTCATGACTATTTTATCCATACTACATTATTAAGCCAGAGTTAAGGGGTGGACACATGTTAGCAGAATAAAAGGGGACCCTAAGATGAGAGAGAAGATATGGTAAGGAGTGTTAGAGTTAGGGTATTATTCAGGGAGTAGGTTTTAGAAAGGCAAAAAAAATCCCAAATTTTAAGAGCTTTAGGTGAGATTTTTTAGAAACTTTAGATGTTTTATATTTTTGAAAAATATATCTCACATGAATGTGTATTTGTCTCGTACATATATTTTCTCAAATTTTTAGGTGCTTTTGGTGAAAGTTTTAGGAACTTCTTATGCTTTCCATTTTTTAAAATTATATCACGTTAATAGTTATTTGGTGGTATTTTATTATCATTTATTGGGTAGACCTATAATGCAGTATTTTCCATTCTTTTGGAACTCATCCTATTGGTAAATCTTTTAGTTAATTTGGATATAGATTTCTATGTTTTTTTTTTTGGGCAAGTATATAGATTTCTTTGTAATTAAAGCTTATCCTCCTTTCTTAAATTTCCCACTCAAATTTATCCTGCTTTTTTCAACCCTCTCTCGTACTTCTCCCCTTCTCTGATTCCATGATTTCTCTCTCTTACTTCTCCCAGTCTCCAATCCCACGACTTTTTTTTCAATGCTCATCATACATTCCTTTTTCCTCCCACCCTCATTCCCATCATTCATGCTTCTTTCTTCAGGCTCTCTCCAAAGCCATTCTTTAAACAAGGTACACTCTATTTTTCTCTATCCATTCAATTTTTATTTATGTGTTTTAAATTTTGTTTAGATTTTCTTTATTAAAAATCCTACAGGTTGGAGTCTTCAGGCTCTTCCTTAAACAGGTTATCAACTGAGACAGTTGTTGATCTCTCTCTCTCTTTGCATTACAATGTATGATAATCCCTTATCTCTCAGTAGAACGCCACACTGTTTTTCTTTTTTGGTTCATTGTGGCCTTTATGGGTTTGGTAATTTCTTGTGAGATTATTGCGATTACCTTTAATTTGTTGATCATTCCTATTTTTGAACTTCTAAGTAAAGATGGTTTTTGGATTGCATATTCTCCTTTTTTCATCCTCTCACATTGGTTGCTTCAACATTATTGAATTCTGTATCATGAAAGGGCGTATGACCAAGCCCAATTTAAGAACAGGGCATTTGCGCATTTGATGCCATAATCTATTTATTGAGTTTTGAATAAAAC